GGAGGGGTTGTCATACGAAGAGAGGCTGAAATATCTCAAATTGTTTTCTGTTGAGAAAAGAAGAGTTAGGAGGGATCTGATTGAGGTGTTTAAGATTGTAAAGGGAATTGATAGTGTTGATGCATCATCATTTTTCATATTTAACAGTGAGAATAGTAGGACTAGGGGACACAAATACATTTTGGCAAAGTAGGAGTCATCTTCAGCTAAGACAGTTTCAGTTTTCAAACAGAGTGGTTGGCCTTTGGAATTGGTTGCCTTTGGATGTTGTAGAGGCAGTAAATGTAAGTGAGTTTAAAAAAAGCTTGATAAGTATATGAATGATAAGGGCTGGCTTTAAGATTTTTTAGAAATTATTTTAATTCAGTGTAGAGGATGGATCAATAGGTCTCCTGTTGTCCCAAAACATTATGTTATGTTAATATGAGTTTAATGTTCTTCACTCTTTGAAAGCTTTATAGGTAAGTGATGTTACATTATGTTTTAATATGATACCTTTCAATTTTATGTGGCCAACATTTGGGATTTTTTTAAACTTGAAATATAACGTCATAATAATTGCATATCACTTAAAAACACAGACAGTTATTGGGTAGAATGATTGATAACAATATTTATCTGTTAAAATGTCCCCCCAGTGGCACAGTGGTAATTCTTCAAGCTCACACCGAAAAAAACAAACACACAAACTGGGTTTGATACTTGTGGTGGGCACAATACAGATAGCCCATTGTGTGGCTTTGTGCTTAATTACAAACAAACACAATGTTAAAATGACAGTGCTGTAGGCAACACTGGCTTTATTTTTTTTTTTTGAAAAGCTGAAGATGAACCATAAATTGAATCTTATTTTCATGTAATATACATTATTTACATTAAAGTCTGTAAAATTCAGTATGTGCAGTCAAAATAAAAAAATATAATATTTGACCAATCAATTGATGTTTTTTTTTAATTGATCAAATTCTCAATCCTGATTTAAGGTACCTTTTGAAGATTATTTTTACATTCTTGATTTAACATTTGGTCTTGAGTTGGCCCAAATGTATTAAGCCTATTGAATCTTGTTAGTTATTGAGATAATGGTGGAAAACATTGGAAACAATGAGGATATCCAACTAATGATTCAGAGTGTTGTAATTATTATAGGTTTTGGTTTTCTTGTGTTTTTTTGTAGAACATTGTTTCTAGTCAGTTTGTTTTATAGGATAATTGTTAGTAATTTATTTTATAGATTATTTCTGATCTGCATAGGTAGTGTTCTTCTTAACGAACTAGAAACTAATCATTAAAAACTTCTAATATTCTACATACACCCAACCCAAATATTAATATTAAAGTTGAACGAGAAACTAATCAATTAAAAACTTCTAATATTCTACATACACCCAACCCAAATATTAATATTAAAGTTGAACGAGAAACTAATCAATAAAAACTTCTATCTCTAATATTAATATTTGGGTTGGGTGAAAATCACTTTCATGTTGCATTATATGCAAAAAACAGACCCTGCATTAGTGAACATTGTATAACATTTGTAATATTTGGATGGAAATCTAGAGTAATTTGATTCTGGAGATGTCAAAGTAATGTGTCCATAAGTGTGCTAATGTACGTCCAGTAAATAGTTATGTCACGTGTCACTTAGTTACAACAAATTTCCCAGATGTGTAGGACCTTGTAATGACTACCATCTTAATAGAATTAAGTTTCAGGTTTTAAATCATTTTTATTTAAGGTGAGAGACATTTAACTAAAGAACTTATTAGGAAGATTGAAAAATCATTTACTGCTTGAGCTTTCTTCATGAAAATAAAGTTTATTTAAAATGTTCATGAAAAATGTCTGTTGTTATTTTTGAAAACGACAAAGTTCTTGAAATTGGGTAATCGGATAACCTTCAATTATGGTTATAGGAAGAAAGAGAAAGGAAGATGAAGCTGCCATGGATAATTGGATTACTGCTAAGAAGAAGAAGAGGTTCTCTCTTGCTGATGATCCCAATGAAACAACCAGTAAAGCCTGTCAGAAGAAAACTAAGCTGAAGAGAGTTCAGGATGATGGTCATCAGGAGCAGTACTTAAAAAGATTATAGTGAGCTATAGTTTTATACTTTAAAAAGTAAAACTGTGAATTGCAAAACATAAAAACAATTGTAAGCAAATAAAAACATTAGATTTTTTAAAATTGATAAAAGATATACATTTGTTTGATTTATCAAAACATTTTTCATCCACATTGCAGTTGTGTTTTTTAGCACAAATCTACACAATCAGTTATTTGTGCTCTTTCTAACAGTGGGAATTGAACCCTGGATTTTAGTGTTGTAAATCTGTAAATTTACCACTGACTCAGCATTGACTCATGGTAACTTAAGTGTTCTATATCGTTTGTACAAAACACAAATCTACACAATCAGTTATTTGTGCTCTTTCTAACAGTGGGAATTGAACCCTGGATTTTAGTGTTGTAAATCTGTAAACTTACCACTGACTCAGCATTGACTCATGGTAACTTAAGTGTTCTATATCGTTTGTACAAAGGAGAATTATTGAATTTTTGTCATTAGAATAAAAGTATTTGAAAGTGCCTAAATTTCTATTTAGAAATATTGTGGATGTAATTTTTATATGACATTCTGTAGTTTGAAGGGGTAAAACTGGGAAGTCTAAACAACCTACATAATAGGAAGTTTGAAACTCATAAAAATATATTTTTTGTCATATTTATTTTTGTAGCTCTCAGCGTCGTGAAAAGCTTGCCATGAAACACAAAAAAATTATTGATGGAGAGGAAGAGGATGATGATGATGAGAGTTTTACCATGTTTGGTGATGGATTTAAAGTCCCTAGTTGTATATGGAAGAAGCTATATAGGTTGGTATGTTTTTCAACATTCTAAGCCACGGGACAAATTCCTGATTTCATAATAAGAGTATCCCAATCTTTTATATATGTCATAGAATAAACTACATTTTATAGTTTTCTTTTGTTACTAGACATGGCTCTCCTTAATGTTATTTTTTAATTAAGGGTCTGTATGGTATTCAAGAATTTGGACAATGTGCCATTTTTTTAATTATCTATCATTTGTTTATTTATATGTATTGTTCAGTAGTAGGTTTCTACTGCATATAGTGGAAGAAAGATACTAACATATATTGATATTATCAGTTGTTTGAGAAGACATTTTATTCTTTTGATGAAAGTATGGAATGATTAATGTTTTAAATGAAAAGACCAGAAAATTTTGAAATTATTAATATCAGTATATGTTTTGGTAGCTTTGAAATATTATCTATGGCATAAGTTTTTGCCCTAGTTAAAAGTAAATTCTGACTATCTGTACTGTAAAGTAGCATGTGTTTGTATGTCTGTTTGTTTTTATATCTGTGATAAAAAAAATTTCCAACTTCCTGACCCGATCACCATAAATCTTTCAAGGATTCTTGGTTATGTCCGAGAAGGATTCTAAAACACATTTAATACTTTATTTTCTTATTTTTATGAGTGTGGCAGCCAATAAATTTTTTCCCTTGCTTCTGCCACAGTGCTGGTGAATGATACACTTGCATGCCATCTATCATTCATGTACCAATGAATTAAATGCTGTGTGTCAGACAGGTACCTCTGCTAGTAGGTATATATATATGTATATATAGATATAATTATACTAGTTATTCATTTTAAAACATCAGCATACTTATGAACCTTTTCAGATATTATTCTTAAAATGAAAAAAATATTTCTCTCTCTCTCAGTGTTTTTTATTGTTTTTTGTTAATGCCTTTCATAATTTAAAACTAGCTATTGTATTCACTTTTGAATAGCAATCTGCATCATGTTTCAAACCTGTTTCTGGCAAAGATTCAACACATTTATAAAAAAAAGGTTTTATGTATTTATGTAGGTATCAGCAGACTGGAGTGAGGTGGTTGTGGGAGCTTCATCAGCAAAACAGTGGTGGGATCATAGGGGATGAGATGGGATTAGGGAAGACCATTCAAGTCATTAGCTTCCTTGCAGGCTTGTCTTCAAGTAATTTGAAGACAGATGGAGACAAGTAATTCTGTTTGAAAACAGTTATATTCAAAAATAGCAGTTAGCAGTCTCCTCCCTCATGTTCCAAAAGTCAACACATAAACAGTTATAATTAGCTATTACTTAACTGTAATATTGGGACCCACTTAGGCTATTTTTACTCTTGACCTTCATGAGATGTTCTTGTTTTAGTTAAAAATATAATTTATCAAGGCCATCCTGTGTCCGAGAAGATCATCGACAAACTAAGATGTTTTATTAAGCCTTGAATTCTGATAAATGCTGTAATGTTCTACACTGATCATGTCTAGTGTACATGCATGTCCCAGTGATTTATAAATGAGATCTTTAAACCTTTGGACTTTAATTATGAACAGTAAACAGTTACTGGATTGAAACATTTTAAGAGATAGAGGAAAATACCAGGTTAAAGAAAACTTTGTTATAAAAAGATTAAATTACTTTTTGTTACAATTTTTATGTTTCCATAAATTGGTTTGAGATTTTCATTTTGTTGGGATATGTCCTGATTTTTTTTTTAAGTTTTATAATTTTTCTTATTTTTGAATGTGTATTGTGATAAAGAAAGTTTTGTAAAGACATATGTGATTTTTTCTTCTGTTTATTTGTTTAAAATGTTATGTTTAACATGTTTAAGTGAAACTTTAATATCTTTTTTTAATGTATACAATTTTATTAATTTATCGAACTTTTCAGAAATATGTTAAGGACTTCAGAGTGTACAATCAGAAATAGTATTCAGATTTTAGGTCAAAATAATCAGATTTTTGATTAAAATAAAGTCATCAGATTTTAGATGAGAAACTAATATAATATAAAATGAAATATAATACTTTAGAAAAAAAAAAGGAGTTCTCAAGTTTTACGTGAAAATAATGTAGTAATCAGATTTTAGATTAAAATAAAGTAATAATGAGATTTTAGATAAGAAAATAATTTAATACTCAGATTTTGGATAAAAAATAAGGTAGTACTCAAGTTTTAGGTGAAAATAATGTAGTAATCATATTTTAAATTAAAATAAAGTAATCAGATTTTAGATTAAAATAAAGTAATAATGAGATTTTAGATAAGAAAATAATTTAATACTCAGATTTTGGATAAAAAATAAGGTAGTACTCAAATTTTAGGTGAAAGTAACGTAGTACACACATTTTATATTAACAAAATATTTGGTTCTTATACCAAGATTAGTAATGTGCTATTCTTATTTGAAAGCCTGGAACTTTTCTGTGGTATTAGAATACCACATGTGGTATGTTTAAAATATATATTTCATAAATTTATGACTAAAATATTTTTTCTTATCGTATCTTTACTATGTCTTCTGCTATTATTTTAAGGTATCATGGTCTTGGTCCTGTTGTCTTGGTTTGTCCTACTACTATAATGCATCAGTGGGTGAAAGAGTTCCATAAGTGGTGGCCTCCCTTTCGAGTGGCTGTTTTACATGATTCAGGCTCATACAGAGGGACAAAGGTAATGTATCTAGGCTATAAAGGGCATTGTTAAAAGTGGATTATCCTGGTATCATAACTTGGCTAAGAAGTACTTTGTTAGGTGTGGAATATCTTGGTATCATAACTTGGCTAAGAAGTACTTTGTTAGGTGTGGAGTATCTTGGTATCATAACTTGACTAAGAAGGACTTTGTTACAAGTTATGATACCAAGATATTCCACATCTTCTAACAAAGTCCTTCTTAGCTTAGTCAAGTTATGATACCAAGATATTCTAAAAAGGACTTTGTTAGATGTGGAATATCTTGGTATCATTCAAGTTCCACTTCTAACAAAGTCCTTCTTAGAAGTTATGATACCAAGATATTCTTAGTCAAGGACTTTGTTAGATGTGGAATATCTTGGTATCATAACTTGGCTAAGAAGGACTTTGTTAGATGTGGAATATCTTGGTATCATAACTTGACTAAGAAGGACTTTGTTAGATGTGGAATATCTTGGTATCATAACTTGACTAAGAAGGACTTTGTTAGAAGTGGAATATCTTGGTATCATAACTTGGCTAAGAAGGACTTTGTTAGGTGTGGAATATCTTGGTATCATAACTTGACTAAGAAAGGACTTTGTTAGATTTGGAATATCTTGGTATCATAACTTGACTAAGAAAGGACTTTGTTAGATTTGGAATATCTTGGTATCATAACTTGGCTAAGAAGGACTTTGTTAGATGTGGAATATCTTGGTATCATAACTTGACTAAGAAAGGACTTTGTTAGATTTGGAATATCTTGGCATCATAACATGACTAAGAAGGACTTTGTTAGATGTGGAATATCTTGGTATCATAACTTGACTAAGAAGGACTTTGTTAGGATGTGGAATATCTTGGTATCATAACTTGGCTAAGAAGGACTTTGTTAGATGTAGAATATGAATGATGTGGCTTACAAAAAACAATCTAGATGATTTTAGCAAAATATTGATCACTAGTGTTGTTTTTATCTTTTGATTTATTAGTTCTATAATTTTGGAAATATGTTTATTCTAAGTTATGAGTACCAGTGAGTAAGTAGGTTTTGATTCACCCATGCACCTTAAATCCTCATTTTCACAAATGTTAAATCTTTCTTGGCGGGGTCATGTAAAATACACGACCCCGTCTGGGGAATGATACAAGTGCAACAATACTTACTGTAACTCTGAGATTTCTTAACGTATCCTCACAAAAAGTGGTAAGATTTTGTTAAAGAGTATAAGTATCTTGTACACAAAGAATGACATTATTTTAATTAAGTATTTCTATTAAAGATATGTTATTTATATATATTGTAGTTATTTGCACTCAATCTCTTAAAAGTTCGAGTGCAAGATGATTTTTATTTTAAGTATACAAATACTTTTCTTCATTTTACAGTTTTCGAGTTTTATTTGCATAACCTCTAGAACCTCCTAAATGAATATCAAAAGTTTGTTAAGGTAAATGTTTAAATTTTATTTTTCATTTTCTCTATCATATCACTAATGTTTAGAATTAAGAATTAGAAAAAAAAATGTACATACATTTTAATTTTTCATTCAATATCTTAAAATATATTTTGGTTATATTCATAATTTTAGGTTTTTTCCTGTTCACATATAGTTCATTTTAAAGTTTTATTTCCTTTCATGTGCTTTTAGCCTTTATTACTCGTCGCTGCACAAGTCAACGGTGCCCTCAGGGTGTAATTACAGTATCTTCAGCAGAGATGCACAAGCCTTTTGCAAAATTATCTTCCCTCGCACAAGATCTTAAGCCTTGAGAACTGATGCAAAATATGATGTATATTTAAAAAATGTTTAAACCTTTCAATTATGCATTTTAAAACATAAATAATACATCATTAACTAAGATAATAAAGTAAGACCTATATGCAATTTAACTGTCTCACTGACTATAACATACTTAGAAAAAAAATTTACGTGCTATTGTGGATAAAGCAGCCAACAATGCTACAGGCAGTTACATGTACAAGATGATGAACACGTGTGTACTAATTTCAAAATAACTAGTGTTGGATTATAGAATAAAATGAGCTCTTTCTAATGACTATATACATGTATGTGTAGCAACCATATGTACGTCATAAAGCTCAAGCAAAAGTATAGAAGGTGGGCATGCTACCCATCAGGGGTTGAAAAAATTTATTACTTGTTTCTGCTGCTTTCAATCAGAGTACTTTGAAACTTACATATCAATAGGGCAAGTAAACGTGCTTATTGCATAGATGTACATCTACATGACTGGCATTATCTTCAACAGATTGAGAGTGCAAAAGTTGAGATTCTTCATAGCTTGTTTTAAGTATGTTTTTTGTAGGTTTTTTTAAATAAAATAAAATAAAAAATAAAACTTTGAATCATAACGTATATTGTAATGTTAATTTAATTGACACACATTGATAGTAAAGTTGTTTAATTATAGTTTGAATGTAACACAGTGATTTGTACAGAAAAATGTTTAAAGAGGGTTCCTGGAGTGGAAATGTTAATTGCCACTAATCAAAGTGATCTAATTATAGATCAGATCTAAAAACTTAATTTATAAGTTTGTGGAACCAATTCAATAAATCAAGCTATTCAAAGTACATGATTTCATTACATGAGTAAACTAAAATCTAAGCTGCATTAGAATGCATTTAATCTTCAGTTGGGTACCCTGGTTGTTAACAGTATTTTTTAATTGTAAACCTATTAGCATATCATGGTGGTGTGGCCTGCTTTGGGAATTTAGGCTAGTTCTAAATCTATATACTAAGATAACAATGCAAAATAATCTTCATGGAAAACTTGTTTTTAATAAATATAACGTAAATATAAAAGTACTTTAAATATTGTAACAAGTAATTTTAATGTAGGTATGTTTAGAAACACAGTGTTATTCTAATACTTTTAAAGTTGTTCCTTCTTTTCTGTTTCTTATACATAAGAATGCATCAAATGTGAAGTAGCTGAAAATTATAAACTGTTTCTTCATCAGGAGTCTCTTGTTCGTAACCTCAATAAGAGCAGTGGGATATTGGTTACCTCCTACAATGGACTAACAATGCACCAGACTCTTTTGTTGAAGTATGAGTGGCACTATATCATTCTTGATGAAGGACATAGAATACGCAACCCCGATGCCCAAGCTACTCTTGCTTGCAAGCAGGTGGGTTTTTACTGTCTTAGTGTAATCTTGTGATGTTTTAGACCTTCATTAATCAACATGGATGTTGAGTTTGTGCTACATTTCCATTAGTTAAATATGAACTAGGTAATACTTGATTTTCTTTGAGATTTCTCTGTTATCTGTGATGCTTTGTTATCCAAGTTTGAAGCTCTGATGTGCCTAAAAATTTAATGCCTGATTTTTAAAAACAAGAAAGGAACAAATTACTGAATCTACTTTCTTTCTACAGAACATTTTATAAACTGTTATTATATTGTTAACATAATAGTGGAAAAAAATAAAATAAAACAAACTTTATGAATCAAAAGCTTGACTCTTGTAACTGTATTGTTTTCATAATTTCAACTTAATGTTTTCTCTCCATCAGCTAATGCACTAAAGGTTCTTCTATTTTCTGTTAAAGTTTCGTGTCATGTATTTGTATATGTAGTAGTTTTAGTGATTCAATACACTTATGGTTTTATATTCAGTTTCGAACACCTCATCGAGTGATCCTATCTGGCTCACCTGTACAGAACAGTCTGAAAGAACTCTGGTCTCTTTTTGATTTCATCTTCCCTGGTAAACTTGGAACTCTGCCAGTTTTCATGCAACAGTTTTCAGTTCCAATCACTCAGGGAGGTTATTCAAATGCTTCTCAGGTCCAAGTAGGTATTTCGATGCTAAACTTTGAAAACCTATTTAAGGTACCACAGGACAGTTTAAAACTCTGAGAGTTATAAAATTACTTCAATTGGAAGAAGGCAAGCTGCTCTGACTGTATTATGTAGAAAGCTTTGCTAGTAGTTACATTATGTAATTTTTTCCTTCTTTAGGTGCAGACTGCTTACAAGTGTGCAGTTGTATTAAGAGACACCATAAAACCATATCTTTTGCGAAGAATGAAAGAAGATGTTAAAGCTAATCTGCAACTTCCTGCTAAAAATGAACAGGTTGGTTTACGTTCATAGTGTATTGATGATGGTACATAACGGTCTTTAATAGCTAAGTTGTTTGTAACTAAGCTACGTAGGTCAGAGGTCAGTCATACGCTGAAGAAATAGAATAATTCGAACTCTTGGCTTGTTTAAATATATATATTATATAAAGAAATGTCCATAAAATGAATGTTACCAGACTATTAGTGAACTTGAAACTACGATAAACTTACTGTCGGGCCTTTAAAAGACTTGAAACCACGAAAAATCACAGTAAGAGAAATGCTACCATCAAATCTGCTAAGCTGTAGTTTGATTTGCCACTTCTCGTTTCCATCTTCTTTTTTTTGTCCCACTCTCTGACACCAATTTGTTACGTCTCTGTTCGTTTGTTAATTTCTCATAAAAATTCTTTCCGAAGAACTTCAGCGATACAAGTCCTTTCTTAAATAAAACTAGTTTATGACTAAGTTCTAGTATGTAAACAGGTGATCAGGTTAAGTTTGTAGTTAGAGGGAAAAGATGTCTAAACAAATGTAGAGGCTAGTATAGGTTTTCTTGTGGTATGTAGACGTTGAAAAGCAGCTAAAAATGAACAGGTTGGTTTACGTTCATAGTATATTAATGATGGTACATAACTGTCTTTAATAGCTAAGTTGATACTTTCACTAGCAAGGTTTATATAAAGCGATGTTTTAGACGTATATGTTTTATTTGAAAAGGCTGCTTTTCTACTGATGAAATTTTATACACTTAATGGGGATTGTGCCTTAGTCTAGACTTGTTCATTGCTATGCATTATATATAGAAAATTTAGTTTCATAGAAACTGTAAATGTTAACAGTATTCTCAAATAAATCACCATGACAATCTCCAGCTGCAGCTTAACGTTTTAAATCTCAAACTAATGCGATCAAATAGTCAATAGCTACAGTAAATCATCATGAACTATATCAGCTAGCTACTAGTTATGTTTATCATCATTACAATGTATAAAGTTAGCTACCGTATCAAGTAATCCTTTGTCCATAATTGGAAATTTAAAAACCTGCAAATACGAATTGTAAAAAAACTAAACAAACAAAGCTGGAGATACTGTAGACATTATTTACTCAAACTACAATTCCTGGTTAGACTCCACCAAATGTAATACTAGATAACAGCATGTAGCCAAAATAGAGGTTTGTAGTTTGAGTAAATAATGTCTACAATATCTCCAGCTTTGTTTCCTTATTTTTTTATGATCCGTATTTGCAGGTTTTTAAATTCCCAATTTTTTATTTATCTTGTAAACACCCTTATTATTCTTGCAATTAGTGTTGACAAAGAAACTGCAATTTGGAAACTTTTGTTGATCCTTTCTTATTTTAAAGACCTTAGCCATGTTTCTTTATTTAATTTCAAAAAAGTTTGTAATAATTACAATTTCTAAATTTTGTTTAAAAATCTCCAACCATGTATAATTTTTTTTTAGTTGAAATGCAAAAGGCTAACAGAGAACATTAGTTATAAACAAATTCCCTGATAAGTGGGTAACTTATATTTTATTAATTACTATATTGTGCTGAATCATCTGTTGTATTGTCTTCCTATCATGCTTTGTTGATTAATTTACAGAGAATACATTTCATTAAGAAATGTTTTTGTAGTGTGCTTTAGGTTATTCTATATACTGTATTTAATGCCACTGTGCACAGAAATGTTGTACTTACCCACTCATTACTGCTTGAGAGTTGCCAAAGTGTTACCTGGAGTTCTAAGGTTGGGAGAGTAATGCCTGTTGTTCCCCTCCCCCCCTCTTTTTATCTATTTTTCACAATTCAGTTTTGTAAGACTAAGTTAAATGTTTTTGTAGAGCTTTCAGGCTGAATTGTTGCTGTGGGTGTAAACATCTTTGTTCAATTTCAAGATTATGTGAAAGCTATTGTTGCTGGATTGTGTTTCTTATGTCCTCTATCTTTTCATTCTTGTGTGATGCACTTTTCTCTTTATTTTCACCAAGGTGCGTCTTTTCTGGTTTTTAATCTTAAGTTATTGGAAGCAATTAATATAGTAGTCGAATTACACATCAGGCTTAGCTAAATAAAAAGTCATCATCTTGAGAAGAAAAAGATATTAGTTACCTACTCAGGTATTCCAATATTCATTTATTTATTTTGTTTGAAATATGATTATTTTCTATTGCCAATAAGAATTGTTTTTGTGCTTTGTTACATGGAAAGTTGTGTCTGAATCCATATTTAATGATGAAATATTTTAAGGCTTTTATAAAATACTCACTCACTTGGATCAAAGACAAGTTTGACTTTTGTCTTACAGGTTCTGTTCTGTAAGTTGACTGAGGAACAGAAAACTGTTTATAAGGATTATTTAGACTCTCCGGAATTAGCAACATAGTGAGAGGAAGATTACAGGTATGTTTGTGTTAAATCTGTCGACTGAGTTTATAGGTTGAAATATTATTCAAACAAGATTCTGAGAAAACAGCTTAGCGTATGTTATGTGTATATGAGAGGTATGCTTTATAAAGACAAGATTTGTCATACATAGTGAGCTAAAATATTGAGAAATAAGTTATTTAGATGCCAAGGGAGTATTATTGAGTATCTAAGAACTTGATAATATGTGAGATGACTTTTCAAGGTAACATCATCTCAGCACTTAACAATACCAGAATTAACTTTTCAAGGTTTTTTTTATCTTAACATATAAAAACTTAACAGTACTTGAGCTCGTTTGTCGAAGTATTGAGATGAGTTTTTAAATTAGTATCATTTAACACCTGAGTTGATTTTCCAAGATTTTATTTGAGTAACTAAGGGCTCAGTACTTAGTTTTAAGGTAGTATCATCTCAGAAAATAGAGAGACATTATAGTATGTCTTGTGGCCAAAACAACTTGCAGGACACACTGTGTGTTATTAACAGGAGTGATATTTTAATGATTTTCTACTTTGTGTAGCTTGGACTGTGGTGATCCAAAATATCACATATTTTTTAGTGGTTGTGCTCTACTGGACCCTTACTTCACATACCAATTTTCAAAAATATGTTTTTCTATCAAATGAAGTTTTTGTACTTTTAGTCATAAAAAAAATTCAATCGAAATTGGAGATTATATATTTGTGTGTTTCTTAATGGATAGCCAACTTTTATGGATTTTTTTTTTAAATTTGGTACACTGATAGATATTCATAACCTTAAATGCAAAGTTATTCAACAAAAATTGCACACATTTGACCAAAATTTTGTGAAATGCCTACACAAAAAGTCATGTTAGCTAGTGGTCTGAAATTTTTACTACAGCTTCACCTAAGAGTAAAAGTGGACCTTTTTTAGTTTTTGTCATTTGTATTAAAGACAGTTGATTTTGAGCAGCAAAACTATAAGGTGAAAGCATGTGCAGATACATTAGTATTGGTTAGGCCAAGGAAACTAGATTTGCAGTTCTTACTCAAGTTTTCAAAAGAATCATACGGGTGGATAGTATTTATTCATTATTCATTGCCAACTTTTAAACAAAAATTTGCTCTAAATTTTGTTAAAGTCTTCTAATTAAAAAGCATTTAGCGTCACGTGATATTAGCTTAAGCAATTAGCATAAATAATGATGCTTGGTATGGCAGTCCCAAGTGCATGTGAGTGATGACAAGAAACTGTTAAGCTAGATTCCATGGCGTTACTATAACTGAAGTGATTAACATAGTTTTAGAGAGGAAAAACTACCACCATATATTTTAAAGAATCTGGTTGGTTCTATAAAGTAAAGTTATGTTTTGAATAATAGGGTTGTGATCCTAAAGGTAATGTGGATTAATATGGAGTGTGGTTTGTTGGTGTGTA